GGCCCTGGGGGGGGATGCACAGCCCATTTAGCTGTGGCCGCTGCCGCTACGAAGCGGTGCGAGCATCCTGCTCCTGACCATCATCACCACCACCATCATCTTCAACATCAACCTCACCGTGTTCACCACCCCACTATCGTCATCGCAATGGTCTGCATAATCGTTGTCGTCATCACCATCATCATCACCATCACCATCACCATCACCATCACCATCACCAGCATCATCATCAGCAGCAGCATCATCATCACCATCAGCATCATCATCAAAATCATCATCAGCAGCATCCAAAACATTATCATCATCAGCCTCAGTATCATCAGCATCATCAGCATCATCATCACCATGACCGTCACCACCACCATCACCACCAGCACCATCACCATCACCATCGCCATCAGCATCACCATCAGCAACAGTATTGTCGTCACTAGCCCTCCTCATTGTCGTCATTGTCGTCCTCGTCTTAATCTTCTCCTCGTCCATATGTTCAACTATTGCGTCGTCGTTCGTTCGGTTCTCATGTTTCTCCCCTGCCTTCGCACGTCCTCACACGTCCTCAGCCTCTCCCCAGTCCTTAGTGTTCAAGGGCACCAGCACCTGCGACCTGGGCTGCAGTGTGTGCGCGCTGCCCTTCCGCAGCGGCAAGCACTGAGGCCGTCCCTCGGCTCCTCTCGGATCCGTCTTTATTGCATGCCTGCTCCAACGAAAAATAAATGCCGAGGAGGAGCCAGAGCCAACGATAGACCAGCTCGGTAAGATACAAGTGAGTTGCTGCTGTGACGCCCATGGACTCACATGGGACTTTTCCTTCGCCCCACCTCCTCCTTCTCCCGCTCCATTTTCTCATCGTCATCATCAGCAGCATCATCATCAGCATCAGCATCATCAGCATCACCAATCAGCGTCATCGTCGTCGTCATCGTAATCGTCATCACCGCCACCATCTTCACCGTCACCACCATTATCATCGGCATCAGCATCACCATTATTCATCATCATCATCATCATCATCATCATCATCATCATCATCAGCATCATCATCATCATCATCATCATCATCATCAGCATCATCATCATTATCATCATCATCATCATCATCATCATCATCATCATCATCATCATCATCACCATCAGCAGCAGCAGCATCAGCATCATCATTATTATTACCATCACCATCACCATCACCAACACTATCACCATCACCATCACCACCATTATCATCATCATCCTCCACCTCCCTCAGCTCTCCTAAGCTCGGTATGATGTATCGCGTGCCCCATGCAGAACATCTCCACACCAGCCTCTCGACATGTCACGACCTACCTCGTTGCTACCATGGTCACAGCGTGGGGGCGCTGCCAGTCTCTAGTGACTCGAGCTGTGCATCCTTCCCTTGGTCAGGCGGTAAGTGGTTACCCCGGTGAACTGCTACTACTTTGCCCAGCATATTTAATGCGAGCCCTACTGTGACCCACAGGCTCTACTACACGCTGGGCGGAGCGGCACCTCGGACCTGCAAATATCACAGAGACGTAGTGTGGATGCTGGTGGTTGGGCGTAGGTGTTGAGGAAGATAGCGCATCCTTGGTTGCGGCGCCAGGGGCAGTCGCGCACGAGGTGCTCCTCTGAGCCACACTCGTGGCATGTGAGACGCACCCCGTCAGGGCCCATGGGGTTGCTGTGGCGGCCCGGACCAAGGCCTCTGGTCCTGAACCTCCCCTCCCCCTCACCCTTGCCCTTCCCGAAACCGGCGAACGTCTCTCGCAGGTCATTGCCGCTCCCAGCGCAGCTGAGCAACGTTTCACCGATCCCTATCCCCATGGGCGTGGCCCGGGCCCAACTGGCCGATCTGCCCCCCTAGTACATAGGGGATATGAGCTGCTCCCTTCGGGTTTCGAGTGGTGTATGCCCAGATGGGGTGGTAGGATGGTGGGGATCGGGATGGGAGTGGAAATGGGGATGGGGATCGTTTTCTTATATTGTTATCCAACAAAAAATACTGTTGCGTACCCGCGGGCTCACGGGCTGCCGCGGGCAGCGGTGGAAGACCGTAACCCGCCGCCGCGCCGCGGACCGCAGAACCGCGGCACGACGGCTCTGGCACCCCGCCTGGACTCCCACGGGCCTCGAGGGCCGCGGCTCCACCACATAGGGGAGGGCAGAAAATCCACCCCGATGATAACTACCCCGACACGCGAAGCCGTTTAGTAAACGCACCCGAAGAAAGAATCAAACAGGGCAGGGCTGTTCAGTAAACGCCCAGGGCCGTTTAGTAAACGCCAAGTGTCTGGTCTAGGTGGTTATTCCTCCCTTGAACATGGGGAACGAAAAATCACATAAACATTAAAACTCGGAGGTCCGCGCGGCTTTCTTGGATCGGCGCTGCGCTGCGCTCCGGAAGGCGCCGCCAGGGGGCCCCAGCGCAGATCCAAGAAACCCGCGCGGACCTCCGAGTATGTTTATGTCATTCTTCGCTCCCCTATCCACGGGCCCCCAC